CAGGAAGGAAATGGGAAGGGAGGGAGGAAAATAGAAGTGAAGGAAGGAAGCTTAACCCTGACATTTTTAATTTCAACCTCTGGGTTTACCAGACATGCTAAAGCATGAAAATAAAAACCTTTGCCCCCATACTAGCCAGGCACAGTTAAGGCCACCTAACTTTGCTAAAATCCAGCCAAAAAAAAATAAATATGAGAATTTTCTGACAGGGGTCCGAGAAAATCTCTTTCCCCCCCCCTCTTCCCGAGTCCAAAAAGGCTTCCAGCCTTGATGTGGTCTTTTCCAAGTTGGTCCCTTCCACACAAGCTGCCTTCTTGATCAGCGTTGGCGTAAGATTGAGGGCAGAAAGATTTAAGAGACCCGGGATCCGCAATCTGCTTGCAGCCAAGATGCCGCCATTCCTGTTTTCAGGTGGAAAATATTCTCCCTGCAAAAAAAAATTAAAAATAGGAAAAAAAATAAGATTTTAAAGAAGCGATTCTGGCACAGGTAACAAAGGCCTTGGAAGAAGGTCCTTTTGCCCTGTTCTTGACTCTTAATCTCATTGGGACGCCTTCACAGAACACTCTTAACCCGGTCTTCTCAAACAGCCACCCACACACACCAAGAGAGCCAATTTTGGGGGGAAATGAACCGGCTTAGCTTCCATGCAGTCGGACCAAGTTTGTTGGGTGGCTAGAACCAGGCGTGTTTTCCCAAATCCAATGATCAGCCCTAACTAGGTTTGTTTGAAAGTTTGGCTCTGGATTGCGGAGTAGGAATCAAGAACCTTTGGGATTAAAAAGTCTTAACTGGGAGTCGGGGAGGGGAACAAGGGGCTTCACGCAAAACTTATCTGGGTCCTTCCTTTGCTCTCTGATTTTAGGAATTTGAACTGGGGGTAGCTTTTATTATATTGTTAATTTGGCGGCAACTGTGGCCTGCAATCTCAATCTGTCAGAGAATAAGGCATGCCGGATTAAGTTCCGTGAGCGGGTGAGCATGCAAAATTCAGTCAATTTTGATCCCAGAATGGGACTTCACCAGAAGCGATTTCCTAGTTTTGAAAAAGAAGAAGGAAAGAAGAAAAGGAGAGTTAAAGGGAGGGAGGAAATAGCAGAGAAGGGAGGGAGAGAGAAAGGAACGAAGGGAGGGACAGGAAGAGGGAGGGAGGGACAGAGAGAAAGAAAGGGAGGGAGGGAAGGTAGGAAGGGAGAGAATTGGGAAGGAGAGAGGAAGGAAGAATAGCAATGAAGGGAGGGAAGGAAGGAAGGAAGGAAAGGAAGGAAGGAAGGAAGGAGAAAGCAAGAGAGAGGCAGGGAGGATGTGAGCAAGGAAAGAGAGGAGAAAGGAAAGGAATTGGGATAGAGAGAGGAAGGGAAGAAGCAAAAAAATAGCAAAGAAGGGATGGGGAGAGGAGGGAGAGACAGAGAGAAAGAAAGGGAGAAAAGCAAGGAAGGAGAAAGCAGGAGAGAGGGAGGAAGGAATGGAGGATGTGAATGAGGAAAGAAGGAAGGAGAAAACAGGAGAGAGGGAAGAAGGAATGGAGGAAGTGAGCGAGGAAAGAAGGAAGGAAGGAAAAAGCAGGAGAGAGGGAGGAAGGAATGGAGGATATGAGCGAGGAAAGAGGAAGAGAGGGAAGGAAGGAAGAAGAAGGAAGGAAATTACTGTGTGTACACTCACCATACCTGCATTTGGGGGGACCCTGATGTTCAAGTCTCCAAACTTTCCGAAACTCTCTCTGCAGAAGCCGTTCCTCATCCCTCTTTCCCATGCTGGCTTCTGCGTCATCATGGCTTCTCTTCCTTCATCCTGGCTACTTGCAACAAGCACAGGGAGAAAAATCAGAGCCCACCGTCCCCTTCCAAACCCTCTTCAGAAATCAAACTCAGAAATTTTATCCAGTAAATAAATAAGATACTTACAAGGTCTTTCCTTTGAGACATCCGGGGACAGGAGGCCTGCACAAGCCAGCATTCCAAGCCAATCTCTGGCTTGTTAAGTGCGTCGGGGAGGAAACGCAGAGGGTCTCTTTATACCCCCGGTGGCGGCATTCAAGAGCCTGGGTTCAGCCAGCTTCGATGTTTCCCACACTCCTGTCCAATCCTCACCCTTGTCCTCCCCGGACAATGGCCAACGCGTCTACTTGGGGATGGTAAATTAACTGTGAATCGACGCCAGAGAATAGCCCGAATCCCCAAGGAGCAGGTGGCCGCTTTGAATAACAAGAAGGGCTCCAAAGATCGAACAGGGGGGGAAAAAAGAAAGAAGGGGGGAAAAACGTGGGAAATAGCCCAGGTTATTATGATGGGATTGTGGGAGCTTGGCGTTAGAAAGGTACCCGGGGGGGTGGGGGGTGTCAAGCATTACCTACACCCACCCACCCACCTCAAGAAGGCAGAGTTTTTGTTGCAAATTGCCTCTACGATCCAAGAATTGGGGCTTTTCATTAAAGGGGTCTAGAAATAACCAAGGTGGGCTTCCGCCCTCATTTAGTTTTTACAAAAAAAAAAAAATAAGTTTTGCAAATATCGGTGGGGGGAAATATTGGCCGTAAAACCTGCAAAATCGGAGAAAGAATGGCGAATTGCAAAAAGCGGTGATCCTCAGCCGACGACCCGCCGTCGAGGGCCCCCCCCCCAAATTCTTGCCGTTAAGTGAGACATTGCTCAAGTGAGTCTCGCCTCCTTTTTTTACGAACTTTTAGTCCCGTCCCCCGGCCGTTGAGTGAATCTGGCTTCCCCAGAGGTCACCAAAGGGGGTCACGCAACCGACGGTCATAAATATGAGTCGGTCTGAATTTCGATCACGCAACTGCGGGGAGGCTGTGATGGTCAAAATAGTACATCCCTGCTTCAGGGATTCAGCTGCGGGCTCCCTTAAGCAAGCATCCTGTGTGGTTCTAAAGCTTGCCAGCACATCAAAAAGTAGATAGACAGAGAGAGAGACAGAGACAGAGACAGACAGAGAGAGAGACAGAGAGACAGAGACAGAGACAGACATATAGGTAGGTAGGTAGGTAGGTAGGTAGGTAGGTAGGTAGGTAGGTAGGTAGGTAGGTAGGTAGGTAG